CTAAGAAAATGAAAGACGGCCAGGCGCGGTGGCTCATGCCTATAATCCCAGCACTTCGGGAGGCCGAGGCGGGCAGATCACAAGCTCAGGAGATCGAGACTGTCCTGGCTAACATGGCGAAACCCCATCTCTACTTAAAAAAAAAAAAAATTAGGCGGGCATGGTAGTGGGCGCCTGTAGTCCCAGCTACTCTAGAGGCAGAGGCGGGAGAATGGCGTGGACCCGGGAGGCGGAGCTTGCAGTGAGCCAAGATCCCGCCACTGCACTCCAGCCTGGGCGACAGAGCGAGACTCCGTCTCAATAAATAAATAAATAAATAACAAACAAATAAATAAATAAATAATAAAAAGGCAAATGAAAGACAAGGCATACGCTGATAAAGCACCTGTATCCAGAATATATACTCTCAAATCTCGACAATGAAATAACACAATTAAAAAAGGGAAATAACTTTTTTTCAAGTTCTCTCATGAGGTTGCAAAAGCAAATAATTTTAACACATCACCAAAATGTACAGAGGCAAATAACATGAAAGATGCTAAACATCATTAATAGTTAGAGAAACGGAAATTAAAACAGGATACTACTACGCACTCATTAGAATGACTAAAATTAAAAAGACTGACAATACCGAGTTTTGACAAGAACATGAAATAAATGGAATTCCCACACACTATTTGAGAACATACAATGGCACAGCTACTTTAGAAAACACTTTGTTATTTTCTTAAAAAGCTGAAAATACATGCAGCATACCATTTAACCTTTCTACTCTTATTTACCTGAGACATGAAAATATAACCACTTACAAAGACTTGTTATGAATGTTTACAGCATCTTACTTTATTATTATTATTATTATTATTTTAAAAATATATTCTTTAACTTCTGGAGTGCACGAGCAGAACGTGCAGGTTTGTTACATAGCTATACACGGGCCATGGTGGTTCACTGCCGGCATCAACCTGTCATCTACATTAAGTATTTCTCCTAATGCTATCCGTCCCCCAGTCCCCCAGCCCCAACAGGCTCTGGTGTGTGATGCCACTCCATTCCCCTCATGTCCATGTGTTCTCATTGTTCAACTCCCATTTATGAGTGAGAACATGTGGTGTTTTGTTTTCCATTCTTGTGTTAGTTTACTGAGAATGATGGTTTCCAGCTTCATCCATGTCCCTGAGAAGAAAACGAACTCACCCTTTTTTATGGCTGCATAGTATTCCATGGTGTATATGTGCCACATTTTCTTTATCCAGTCTATCATTCATGGGCATTTGGGTTGGTTCCAAGTCTTTGCTATTGTGAATAGTGCCACAGTAAACACACGTGTGCATGTGTCTTTATAGTAGAATGATTTATAATCCTCTGGGTATATACCCAGTAATGGGATTGTTGAGTCAAATGGTATTTCTGGTTCTAGTTCCTTGAGGAATCGCCACACTGTCTTCCACAATGGTCAAACTAATTTACACTCCCACCAATAGTGTAAAAGCTTTCCTATTTCTCCACATCCTCTCCAGCATCTGTTGTTTCCTGACTTTTTAATGATTGCAGTTCTAACTGGTATGAGATGGTATCTCCTTGTAGTTTTGATTTGCATTTCTTTAATGACCAGTGATGATGAGCTTTTTTTCATACGTTTGTTGGCTGCATAAAAGTCTTCTTTTGAGAAGTGTCTGTTCATATCCTTCACCCACTTTTTCATGGAATTGTTTTTTTCTTGTAAAGTTGTTTAAGTTCTTTGTAGATTCTGGATATTAGCCCTTTGTCCGATGGATAGATTGCAAAAATTTTCCCCTATTCTGTAGGTTGCATCTTCACTCTGATGATAGTTTCTTTTTCCGTGCAGAAGCTCTTTAGTTTAATTAGATCCCATTTATCAATTTTGGCTTTTGTTGCCATTGCTTTTGGTGTTTTGTTCATGAAGTAATTGCCCATGCCTATGTCCTGAATGGTATTGCCTAGGTTTTCTTTTAGAGTTTTTATGGTTTTAGGTCTTACGTTTAAGTCGTTAATCCATCTTGAGTTAATTTTTGTATGTAAGGAAGGGATCCAGTTTCAGCTTTCTACATATGGCTACCCAGTTTTCCCAACATCATTTATTAAATAGGTAATTCTTTCCTCGTTGCTTGTTTTTGTCAGGTTTGTCAAAGATCAGATGGTTGTAGATGTGTGGTGTTATTTCTGAGGCCTCTGTTCTGCTCCATTGGTCTATATATCTGTTTTGGTACCAGTACCATACTGTTTTGGTTACTGCAGTCTTGTAGTATAGTTTGAAGTCAGTTAGCATGATGCTTTCAGCTTTGTTCTTTTTGCTTAGGATTGTTTTGGCTATGTGGGGTCTTTTTGGTTCCATATGAAATTTAAAGTAGTTCTTTCCAATTCTGTAAGAAAGTCAATGGTAGCCTGATGGGGATAGCATTGAATCTATATTACTTTGGGTAGCATGGCCATTTTCACGATATTGATTCTTCCTATCCATGAGCATGTAATGTTTTTCCATTTGTTTGTGTCCTCTCTTATTTCCTTGAGCAGTGGTTTGTAGTTCTCCTTGAAAAGGTCCTTCAATCCCTTGTAAATTGTATTCCTAGGTATTTTATTCTCTTTGTAATAATTGTGAATGGGAGTTCACTCATGATTTGGCTCTCTGTTTCTCTGTTATTGGTATATAGGAATGCTTGTGATTTTTGCACATTGATTTTGTATCCTGAGACTTTGCTGAAGTTGCTTATCAGCTTAAGGAGATTTTGGGCTGAGATGATGGGGTTTTCTAAATATACCATCATGTCATCTGCAAACAGAGACAATTTGACTTCCTCTTTTCCTAATCGAATATCCTTTATTTATTTTCTTGCCTTATTGCCCTGGCCAGAACTTCCAACATTACGTTGAACAGCAGTGGTGAGAGAGGGCATCCTTGTCTTGTGCCTGTTTTCAAAGGGAATGCTTCCAATTTTTGCCCATTCAGTATGATATTGGCTGTGGGACTGTCATAAATAGCTCTTATTATTTTGAGATATGTTCCATCAATACCTAATTTATTGAGAGTTTTTAGCATGAAGGGCTGTTGAATTGTCGAAGGCCTTTTCTGTATCTATTGAGATAATCATGTGGTTTTGTCATTGGCTCTGTTTGTGATGGATTACATTTATTGATTTGCGTATGTTGAACCAGCCTTGCATCCCAGGGATGAAGCTGACTTGATCATTATAGGTAAGCTTTTTGATGTGCTGCTGGATTCAGTTTGCCAGTAATTTATTGAGGATTTTCACATCGATGTTCATCAGGGATATTGGCCTGAAATTCTCTTTTTTTGTTATCTCCCTGCCAGGTTTTGGTATCAGGATGATGCTGGCCTCATAAAATGAGTTAGGGCGAATTCCCTCTTTTTCTATTGTTTGGAATGGTTTAAGAAGGAATGGTACCAGTTCCTCTTTGTACCTCTGGTAGAATTTCGGCTGTGAATCCATCCCTTCCTGGACTTTTTTTGGTTGGTAGGCTATCAATTACTGCCTCAATTTCAGAACTTGTTGTTGGTCTATTCAGGGATTTGACTTCTTCCTGCTTTAGTCTTGGGAGGGAGTATATGTCCAGGAATTTATCCATTTCTTATAGATTTTCTAGTTTATTTGCGTGGAGGCGTTTATAGTATTCTGTGATGGTAGTTTCCATTTCTGTGGGATTGGTGGTTATATCCTCTTTATCATTTTTTATTGCATCTATTTGATTCTTCTCTTTTCTTCATTAGTCTGGCTAGCGGTCTATTTTGTTGATCTTCTCAAAACATCAGCTCCTGGATTCACTGATTTTTTTGAAGGTTTTTCATCTATCTCCTTCAGTTTTGCTTAGTTCTTATTTTCTGCTAGCTTTTGAATTTGTTTGCTCTTGCTCCTCTAGTCCTTTTAGTTGTGATGTTAGGTGTCAATTATAGATCTTTCCTGCCTTCTTGTGTGCATTTAGTGCTATAAATTTCTCTCTACACACTGCTTTAAATGTGTCCCAGAGAATCTGGTACGTTGTCTTTGTTCTCATTGGTTTCAAGGAACATCTTTATTTCTGCCTCAATTTTGTTATTCACCCAGTAGTCATTCTGGTGCAAGTTGTTCAGTTTGCATGTAGTTGTGTGGTTCTGAGTGAGTTCCTTAATCTTGAGTTCTAATTTGATTGCACTGACAGCACCTTACTTGTAATAGCAGAAAATGGAGTAAAGAGCGAAACATCCATCAACTGGTGAATGAACTCGTATATCCAACAGCATACTGCCTCGTAAGGAAAGCCCATTAACTACTGATGCATGCACACAGATGAATGTCAAAATAGCCTTCAGTGAAAGCAAACTTTGACTCCATTTATAGAAAATCCTTGAAAAGTCTACAGTGACAAAGATCAGTGATTGCCTGGGAGTTGACAGGAGGGACCCTCTACCTTAGGTTTTTGTTGAGATCAAAGGCAAAGCCCTTAAACTTCTTTGGGGCCTAATTGATAGCATTCAAGGCCCACCCTTCAATCTTTGAAGGGTCTAGTCTGAATTCAACCTCTTAGGATTTCCCCATATTCATAATTGAAACTGAAACATAACTTTGGAATTAAGGAATAAAGACATCCTTGTTCTGGGCTCTTGTTACTAGCACATGTGTTTGACTACAGCCAAGACGGTGTCTTATTCTATACAATTTAAATCCTTCTAGCTTTTTTGGGGGTATGGGGTGCTATTTAATCCAAGTTCAGCTGGTTTAGTGATAAATTACATCAGTATTTACCAGTGTCTTTTATGCTCTTCCTGTATTGAATCATCTCGAGATATTTATCTCAAGACCCAACCCACAACTACTGAATTAAGCTATTAAGTGGGGAAAAACCGGGATCAGGGTACTGTCTAAAAATCTCAGAAGCTCCCCAGAAAAACCATCACAAAAATCCATTCAATGCCTTCACACAAACGCGTCTACTGCAGCTTCCTAATTCAGTTGTTTCCAGGATTACAATGTTTATAAAAGGTATACATTAAGCTTGTAACAATTTTATTTAGCAAAATTTATTTTTGTATGTACATACAAAAGACATTTTCTTTGACATATAAAAAATACAGAAGTATTTACATGTCTACAAAAATATTAAAACAGATTTCAGAAATAAGGAAAACAAGCACGTTTTTACAAGGATACTTTCTTGGGAAATATACACACAAAAAAAGCTTTAGAAAGGTGACAAAACATTTAATAGACTCCAGAAGTTGATATTCCCATTGGTATCAATTGAGTAAGATGAGTATAAAATGTCTGAAATGCTAACAGATGGAAAACCAGACTTACATTTAAGACTGTCTGGGTAAAATTGCATGGGTTTCCTTTACCATAAAATTGAATCAATTTTTTTTTTTTAACCCTCAGTATCACATATCTACTTTTCCTTTTTTCTTAAAATATTTAAATTGTTTGATTTGTATTGAGAATTTTAAACTTTTTCTCATTAAATTGTAAAAATAGTTTAAGAGGTTGTCTATCCTCTTTATCCTCTGGGGGGAAAAAACCTCAGGATACTACACTGATTTCAACATAAAATTGAAAATCACAATACAATATTTTTTTAAGTTAAAACCTAACATTTTCTAACTAACATTCATGATCAGTAACAATTGATTTAATAAGAGATCACAATCTTCGTAAATTCTTTTTGCTTTTCTTTGTACCAGGCAGGGGACCTATTTTACAACTGGCTTTGAGGAGCTTGCCATCTGAACAGTCTTTGGTAGTATGGTAATTACATAGACACCTCGTACAATAATCAAATCCACAGCCTTCTCGTTTGCAGGTTGCCCGTTGTAAATAGCAATCATATTTTGCAGGTGAATTACAGCGAATACAGGCTTTGAGGCTTTCATTCTTTTTCAAAGTCTTGGCAACCTAAAAAGAAAAAAAAACAACTATAAACAAATTTCAGCAAGGATTACATGTACTTTAGTTAGTAAAACCAAGAAGGACACCCTTGCACCTTCCCCAATACATGTATGAAATATCACTGTCACACATACGATAACTACTGCCCTAAGTTTTATCTATGTAGTACCTGCTAGCAGATGCTCAATAAATACTTTCTGAATAAATTTGTATGTTGCATTACTCATTATGGCATAAAATTTAAGACTAGTTTTGTTATGTAGGATTTACATTAACTGATCAACATGAATCAGAAAATATTCTATAATTTTGGTAAGTTATCTAAATTAAGCTTGCAAAGTTATCTACATGTGAGTAGAACTTTTAGCACACATCACTCACTGATCTGAGGGTATAATAGAAGGCCTTCAAGTTCAGAAAGCTTGCCTTTTTCCACTTAACTCTCTTCCTCAGTTCTTAAAGGTGGAAACTGCAAAATGTAATATTGACTACTTTTATAAGAAATCTAGGTTTTTCATTATTTCCTCAGTTTCTAAATTAGAACCCAAAATCACTGAACTTTCATAAACAATGCCAAACAGTACCTAATATTCAGACATACATTTCTGTGTACTTTCCTAATTTCATGTTTGTTTTCCACATTATTGTGAGTGAAATGAACAGGACACTAATGAAATCCCTAATAGTTCTAATCATACTACAATTAAATTTAAATGATCACCAATATCAGGTTTCATAATGTCAGAGAATAAACTAGTTATTATCTAGAGCCAAGTTACATTTTGACCTTGAAAGTTCTTTTACATTTCTTACTCTAAATCCCTTATGTTTTAAGATTTATGATTAGACAAAAAATTACCTCAGAGAATTCATTGTGTCGACTATAAGTAGAACCCTTCTGATCACCTTGATTGGATACCTTGGTTTGAGCATCTTTTTTGAGAGAAGTCTGGGCTGCTGATTTCTGAACAGAAGCCAGTGGGGTTCTGAACATAACAAATTCTCTGGTTGACGCATGTGGTGAAAATTTATTGTTGTTTTCCTAATAAAAAAAAAAAGTTTCAATAGAACTTAGAAATTATTTCCTGTATCCTCAACAATGAGACATTTTTATGTTTGTACATAAAAGAAATGATGGCCGGGCGTGGTGGCTCAAGCCTGTAATCCCAGCACTTTGGGAGACCGAGATGGGCGGATCACGAGGTCAGGAGATCGAGATCATCCTGGCTAACACGGTGAAACCCCGTCTCTACTAAACACATAAAAAAAATTAGCCAGGTATGGTGGCAGGCGCCTGTAGTCCCAGCTACTTGGGAGGCTGAGGCAGGAGAATGGCGTAAACCCGGGAGGCGGAGCTTCCAGTGAGCTGAGATCCGGCCATTGCACTCCAGCCTGGGCGACAGAGCGAGACTCTGTCTCAAAACAAACAAACAAACAAAAAGAAATGACAAGATTATGTAAGAGACTTATCCCTACATGCAATTTACCTGCACATACTTAAACAAAGCAATACCTAAATACTCACACATACCAAGCCTAACTTATAGACAGAAACTGTGAACTAAAACTGTGAGAAATCACTTTAAAGGCAGAGATATGGTACTTAATACCTAAAAAGTGAAACAGCTTTTCCAAATTTTCCACGTTGTAAAATACACATACACACAACTGGCAACTAAGATTGACTAAATGGTCAACTCTATCTGAGAATTGAGTAATTTTCCCTTTGTTACTTTAGACATTCTATTTCTAGGAAGAATCCAAGAAATAAATGATTGAGTTGAGATTTATTTTTGAATGTGGTTTCTAAGTTCTAGTATAAGGTTGAAATACTTTATGAATGTAAAGAAGTGTTTCCAGATTACCTGTTTTTTTTTTCTTCTCTATTTCTAGAAGAGCACTAGCAGTGCATTTTTAACTAAAAACATCGTCTGCAAACACTTACGGTAACTCTTTGTATTGCTTTACTGTACAACTGGAATGCCCCCTTATCATCTTCTAGGATCTTCTTCCAAGTTGTGCTCACTTTAGACACACTGGAAAAGTAAATTACCATAAATGAAATAATTAAAGCATCACAAAGAGCTAAGATGAATACAGTAAATAAACATTAGCAGTGCAAAAAGGTATTTACATTATTAGTAGTGCTTCTCAAACCTGACCACATTACAATTGCCTGGCAGTTTTAACTGGTCTAAAATGGAGCTCAGGGCTCTGTATTTTTAAAAAGCTCCCTCCTCATCAAGTAATTCTAAGTGCATTGAGGCTTAAGAACCACTGCTTTGTACAGTATTTTTTCACAATATCTGCAAACATCAAATAGTAGCCACCATTGTGTGTGTGTGTGTGTGTGTGTGTGTATATATATATATATATACATATATATATGATACCATGTTAGCTATCTGGTAAAAGTAATAGACAAATTTCAAAGTACTCTAGGCAGACTGCTATTAGAAACCAACTTTAGAAACTCACTATGTTAACAGAAAAAGTAGAATCTGTGATACTGATTTGATTGTCCCTCAAGCTGTTTAGGCTCATGCCTGTAATCCCAGCACCTTGGGAGGTCAAAGTGGGCGGATCACAAGGTCAAGAGATCGAGAGACCATCCTGTCCAACACAGTGAAACCCCGTGTCTACTAAAAATACAAAAATTAGCTGGGCATGGTGGCACGTGCCTGTAGTGCCAGCTACTCAGAAGGCTGAGGCAGGAGAATTGCTTGAACCCGGGAGGCAGAGGTTGCAGTGAGCCGAGATCGCGCCACTGCACTCCAGCCTGGTGATAGGGCGAGACTCCGTCTCAAAAAACAAAAACAAAAAAAACCAAGAAGCTGTTTATATCTGTTTTGCTTTAGCTCTTGTTTCATAAAGACCAGTGTAAACTCATACTTGCAAAGAGTACCTCCAGATAATTTTTCAAAAAGCCAAAAGAAACAAAAAACAAAAAACAAAAACCCAACCCCAGTTGAGTCCTATCTAATTCTAGTCTGCATAATCACCTTAATTCTCAAAGTTATCTGACTAAATGATTTTCCTTGGTAGATTGAGAAAGAAATGGTGGTTAGCACAAGGTTTCTAAGAAATCATTATAAACAGAGCCTGGGAGGCGGAGGTTGCAGTAAGCCAAGATTGCACCATTGCACTCCAGCCTGGGTGATGGGAGTGAAACCCTGTCTCAAAATAAATAAATACATACATACATACATAATAATAATAAATCACAAATCCCTATTTGTGGATCTTCATATTTTCATGACTATCAAACCTAGGAGAGCCCTACCACCAAAAAATGGCTCAGAAAGAACAAAAATTACTTCATACTTTCTGGTGTGACAAGTCATAATGCCTATTAGACATGTAGACTGGAACTAGGCTGTTTTATAGTTAAGCCCCAAAGATGTAACTTACATATTAGAAATGTCAAAACTAAAAGGAACAAAGATCCTAATCCAATAGAAACAGTTTTGTAATAGCATGAATATAAAATTTGAAATGACTAGGTTAAATGCATAATTCTAAAGTTTTCTTTCATCTTAGTGGCACATAGGTAGCAAAACACCAGCAAAAGTCATTACCGCAATTAAACAACATTGTAAGGTTACCTACAACAGGTTGAGCATCTCTAATCCAAAAATCTGAAAACTTCTGAATGCTGACATGATGCTCAAAGGAAATGCACATTGGAGCACTTCTGGATTTCGGATTAGGGATGTTCGACTGTTTAACCTGTAGGGTATAATACAAATATTCCAAAATTCGAAAAACATCTGAAATCCTTCTGGTCCCAAGCATTTCAGATGAGGGACACTCAACCTGTACAACAGCCTTTGCATGAGCTGGTGGTACTGAGCCACTAATAGCAATGTTCAGTGGATTATGCTAACATGTATATTCAAAACAGTACTTACTTGATTAAGTCCATGTCACTGAGTTGTGCTAAAATAGTTGCTAAGAGATGTCTGAGTCCCCTTCGAAAGAGTTCGCTGAGAATATCTACACATTCTAGGCCCATTTTTCTGCCAATTATATTCTGCAGTCTAAAATTTCCTCTGGCTATAATTTCCTTCAGCATCTCCCGATCTACTTTAGGATTTCGCTTTGCATTCTTTTTTAATGTTGAACAAACCACTTTTTCAAAATGAAGAACTGGCAGCAAGTTTTTGTTGGGATATTGGTCTGGGCTTTGTATTTGTAGCAGGCAGGACTGTGGACTGTCACTGAAATTTTCCTCCAGGAGGCTACCTTCTTCATGTTCACTGAGGCCACTTTGTTGAGAAAATGAGGAATAGCCACTGTCTTCATAAAGTCTACTGGTCTCTAGTGCTTCTATTTCATTTGTACTATTAAGTGTTTGTTGCACATGTTGATTTTCCTTGTTATGCAAGGGTTTGCTTTCAGTTTCAAGTTCTACAATCCTAGGGCTCACAATCGGTGACCCAATACATGACAGCCTTTCATAGTCTTTAATGCAGTCTTTACAGGAACCTTCCAAATATGCAGGGGTGTAGGAAACTAGTCTTCCAATGTCATCAGGTTTTACCAGTTTAAGTCCGGAATGAACATGGTTACAATTAAAATCACACTTCATTTTGACAGAAAGGGTAGAACTTTCTTCTTCTTTACAACCTATAAAAAGAACATAACATTTACATCTTAATGGCAAAATTTCCACACATCCCTACTTCTTCAATTGGGATATACAAAGATTACTTTGCAATCTCTCAGCGTTAGGTATTGTCTACGTGTACTTGCTTATACAGCTGTGATGTTATTCAAGTTTAATTATTGAGATGACAACAATATGTGAAAATATTACTTAAATCTTGTAAGTATATACAAATTATATTATTCTTGAGAAGGCATTTCAGAACAGACTGCTTTTGGATAGCTGTAACATCTGACTGTTATCTATAACTGATTGAGTAAAAAACAGTGGAAAAAGGGGCTATATAATAAACATCTGTGTTTATGGAATAAATGAGGAAATGTGATGTATCAAAAGAGTAGGCTCTATGGTCAAAGTTATCCTTAAAGTAACCACAAATACTTTTAGATTCAGTTTTTATTCCTTGGACTTAAATGACATATGGTTCTCTTTGACTTAAGCACAACCCAAGCCACTGACAGCAAAAATGGTTAAGATTAGTACAGGAGGACAACGTATAAGGGTGGGAATAATCTTGATAAAAATAATAAAAATTTTGTATATTATTTCACCATTAGCAATGATTGCAAGCCTTAAAATAACTAATCAAGAAATCTATAGGTAGCATGGAGAAAAGAACTAATAACACATTTAAACAACTATAAATTAAAGTCTACCTGAATTCCCACAGCTCTTATCTCCAAGTTTTATTCTGATGGGTGCTCTTGGTGACCTTCTAATATATTTCAAGTGTTTGTGTACCTTACTGGATAGTAAACTCAAGTACAGGGACATCTCCCTGTATCTTCTCTAATAATGTGCTGGAAACTGGTGTCTTTTAATCACTGAACAAAGACATTCCACCGTAAGAATGAATAGTTCTGCTATCAATCAAAAATAAGAGTTGGTAAATAAGAAAAGAATGACACTCTAATCAATTAACCAGATTTAAAAATATGAGTGGTAGGGCAGCAGGTGTAAATTACTGTTCAATTGCTTTAAATAACTTAAGATAAACTTGCTATTAATGATAAATAGAAAAAAGGGAAAGATTTGTTCAGGGTTTTATTACCACCCTGCTCCAACACTCAGGACCTAAGAAATCAGTTAAGACACAATGGAGCAGGCAGCGTCTTAAGATAGCTTTAAAGAAAGGTTTCACCATCCCTGTGCTATAGACATTTTGCAGTGAATGCCTCTTTGTTCTCAGGGGTTGTCCTGTGCATCGTAGGATGTTAAGCAGCCTTTACCCATTAGACACCAGGGGCAGCCCCCACTCCCAATATGCAATATCTCCAGTTACCAGTTATTGCCAAATATTGGGGAGGGGAAAAGGCCAGCTGCAAAATTTCCTCTATTCTTCAGTTGAGAACCACAACTCTAAAAAGTTATTAGGATTGTCAGGCAACAGTGGCCTGGTAAGGGCATTCACAATTTGAGCAATGGCACAATGCTGGGAAGGAATATGGTAGATGGGTTCAGAAACTGTTTAGCATTGTTGAAGGCAGAGAATAACAGTAGGGAAACAATGCGGACATGAGCTAAGAAAGCCTGAATATTAAATGCCAGGTTAAAATGTGCCCCATCTACCATCCCCACATCTCTAAATATATAGCTAACAATTTATCCTGTCAGTAAATGTATATGGCATCAGTATGCTTAGTCTGCACTAAATATTGGCAATGTGTTCACATTAAATTTAACCATTTTTTTACATAGAGCAAAACTTTTCAACTCAAAGTACAAATGGATACCTTCATAGAACGTAACTTGTAGAGAGAAACTGCTTGTAAATTCCCAATGTTAATACAGTGAAAGACACATAATATGTGCTCCAGGATCCACTAAACAGAAAATTAAGAGTTGAGCTGCATAAAAAATAAAGAATATACAAATTCTAGCTCCCTAATTAACCCTAAATCTAGAACAAATGATTCTGAGTGGTTTACTTTCATTCAGAGGAAAAGTAAAAAATACCAAGAGACTGCTTCTATTTTTGCCTCAAATCAACTAAAGAATTAGGTTTGATTTATACATGACCACAATTTACATGAGAGGATAAAAAAGCAGAAGCCACTTATGAAGGCACGCTCTGCTTTGTTTAGCTGCCTAAACCAAAAAGGCCTGAAAATACTTCAGGAATTCAAAGTCATTCTCTTTCTGCTGTCTTTAGAACAGTTACTGGGAGGTTGTCCTATAGAACCTCTTTCATTCAACACTGTTCTTTGAATATGGACAGTTCTTTAAAATTAGAGCTAATAATGATGCAAATACTTTATACTTGTTTAGAAGTTTGCAATTTCCAATGCTTACAAACCTTTTGAAGTAGGATGGGGAATTGTTATTTTTACAATTGAGCATACTGAAGTGTGTAGCTTAGTTTGCCCAATACAGGTAGTTAATTAAATGAGCCAGATCTCTCTTCCTCATTATAATGAGGTGCTCTGGAAAAACAGATCTTACGAATAACATTTATACTGTTTATAAAAATGACAGAAAAGCCAGAATTTATGGTGCAAGCGCACTTAAGGTACTAAAGAAAAAAATGTGTACATTTTTTTTCTCATGTGAGCTGGCCCTTTTCCAGTCCTTAGTAACAATGACCTTTCCATCCCAGGGGCTTTGTACATTATGTCTTTCCCTACTTAGAATATCTTTTCCGCTTCCTTTGCCTATTTACCTTCTAATCCATTACTCATGGAGAGCTGCTTCTTCTTTTTCTTTTTTTTTTTTGAGGGAACTTTTCAGACCTCATCAAACCCTACTTTAAAGCACTACCAAATTGAAATTTTTAAAAGTACTTTTAAGTTTCTTAAAGGCCAGACATGACTGTTACTGCTTATGACAAAATCCAAGCAAACACCAGTGCCTGACACAATGAAGACATATGATATAAAAATGTGTTTCCCATTTTTTTTTTGTTAGCTAATACCAACATTAGAATCTGTATTCTTCCTCATGAAATTAGCACTTAAGGAGTTAAAATGACTACCACATTCCTCTTGCAACAACATATATTTTCACATGAATAATTAGATTTAGTATTTAGGTCAGGTGCAGTGGCTCATGCCTATAATCCCAACACTTTGGGAGGCTGGGATTGGGAGATTGCTTGAGTTCAGACCAGTCTAGGCAACATAAAGAGACCCCATCTCTATAAAAATTTTAAAAAGAAACTAGCTGGGCATGGTGGCATGCACCTGTGGTCCCAACTATTAGGGAGGTTGAAGCGGGAGAATTGTTTGAGCCTGGGAGGTTGAGGCTGCAGGCAGTTGTGATCGTACCACTGCATTCCAGCCTGGAAGACAGAGGGAAACCCTGTCTTAAAAAAAAAAGAAAAAAGAAAAAAAGGTTTGGTATTTTAAAAGAATTTTAATAAACTTATTCTGAATTTACAGAAAAGCTGCAAGAATAGTGCAGAACTCCTGTACCCCCATTGCTCAACTTATATTACTAACATGAATGCATGTCACAACAAATTAACCAATATTGCTGCATTAACTAAAATCCCTATTTTATGTGGACTGCTGTGGTTCCTACCTTAAGTCTTTTTACTCTTCCAGGGTCTTATCTAGGATACATTATATTTAGTCATCATATCTCCTCAGGCTCCTCTTGACTATGACAATTTCCTTGTTGATAATTACCTTGACAATTCTGAGAAATACTGGTTATTTTGTAGCCTGTTCCACAATTAGGATTTGTCAAGTTTTTCTCAGCCTTAGTCTGGGGCTGTGGGTTTTTAGACCACAGAGGTAAGGTCCTATGATTTGAACTGATGTTAACCTTGATGACTTGGCTGAGGCAGTATTTCTGAGCTTCTTCCAAATGTAAAGTTACTCCTTTTTGTTCTTTTTCCACTTGAAACTTTTTGGAAGGAAGTCACTATGCACACCTCACACTTAAAGAAGTAAATTTATAAATCATTTGGAATTCTTCTGTACAGCAGATTTGTCCATTAATTTCCTATTTATTCATACTACCAATCATTTATATCAGTATAAACTCATAGACTTTGGGTTATAATCCAATACTACTTATTGTATTGCTCAAATTGTTCCAGCTTTTGCTATTGTGAGCTCTTTCAGTTGACATTGGTGTCCATTTCACATACTTAAATCATTTTGTGTTTTGAACATCCCTTACTTTCTGGGACTACAAGATGCTCTAAGCGTATCTTCTAATTTCCCTGTTCCAGCCCTAGAATCAGTCATTTCTCCAAGGAACTCTGATTTCCTTTTTTTTTTGGAGAAAGGTATTAAATGAAAGTGAAATCTGGATGTTGGTTGTTGATTTAATTTTAAAACATGAAATTAATGTATTTTTCATTTCCATAACAATACTGCAGAAGAAACAGATTAGCATAGCATGATGTTTTATAAAAAAGGAAGCTGAAGCAACTGTTTGCAAAAGGTTAAATCCATTCCTTTTAACTAGCTAAGTGTTTTCCAATGACCAGGCCAAATTTGGGAAATATGTGAAATATTCATATAATTGACTTATTATCCAGAAAGACAGAAAATATTATATGGCTTCATAACCTCTTGAATTAAACAGATGAGGGCTAAGAGTTCAGTTGAACCATTTCACTTATTTATCCAACATCCACTCAGTGCCAGGGTAGGGGGAGAGAAAGATATTAATTAGGGATGATCTTTTAGCAAAGCTGACATTCTGAAATCTGAACACCTTATGGAAATCTAGTGGAAGAGTTCCAGATGGTGGGAAACATAGGAAACAAGGAAAAATGTGAGTGCTCAATAAAGAGAAATATCTGTAGGGCTGAGTTGGGGGAGGTTATTGAAAATTATAGTTGAAGAGGTAGAATGATCTGCAGATTTGTGGGGTAGGCTGGGTCCTATGTGGAGGACTGAGGTTTGGTTTACATTTTTGGAAGATCACTGGCAGTTGTGGAGAATGAATTGCAGGAAGGTAAAAGTAGAAGCAGAGAGAATATAGTTCGAAGTGTTTATCACAGAAGTACAGAGTGTGGGAAACTCAGACTAGAAGGATTGTAGTGGAAATGAAAATAACTGCATAGATTCAAGGTCTGTTATTTAGGAGGGTAAAGTCAATTTGCTGCTAATCTACTAGATGTGGATATGAAGAAAAGGAGAGTAAAAAAACACCCTGGGGTTTAAGGCTTGAGTATCTAAGGTGATATAGTGCTATTTACTAAGTTATGGAAAAACTGATGAAATTAACGCTTAAAAACCTTAGTTTCCTCATCCATAAAATGGGAGTAAGACAATAAAACAGGACTAAATGCAAGGCAAAGTCCCTGTCACAAGGGTCTAGTCAATACAATCTATTTTTAATCACATAAGCCAAATCCCTTCATATTCCTTACATTGCCAATCATTAACATTTAAAAGTAGTAAAGCACATTTCACAAAGAAGTATATATTTCAGAATAACACATACTTTTCCATTAGAATGTATAGAGTTAAGAATCAGATCCAAGTTTGAATGAAAATCCTGGCTTAACCTTTTGACTAGCTTTGTGAACTTGGAATGTCCTATTCCTACTTTTCCCCTAAGCGCAGATAGTAATAAGACTCATACATGGCATTGTTTAAATTTCTCATTTACCGACTCCCAGCCCAGTCATACAGAGAAAAGAAAATTTTACAATGTTTGACTTTACATTTAATTTTCCAATATAGACCTGATCCTCCATATTAAATATCATAAATAAGGCTGCAGTCCTTAAAAATCTTTGTAACTCTTCTGTTAACTAAAATAATTAAGTTCCAGTCTCTAATACCTACAGATAACCACCATGTGGTCAACGTTAGGCATGGCCATTCCTTAAGAGTTTAAGAGGCCCAATGCTTGTGACCATAATCTTTAAGAGAAAATTTTAGAAAAGCCTACTTTCAAAACTATCTGGAGGTAACATATATGTATTTTTAATTTCATCTCCTCAAACCTGTAAACTGGGGAAAAAATTCCAATAGGCAGTAAATTCTTTCTGAGGAGCAAGGTAGTAAAGACAAATGGAGTTATCAAAAAAGAAAAAAAAAACCCTCATAAAGCCATCAAGCTTCAAAATTTCAATGGTAGATTGATGATCCAGGATCTTCTAGAAATATACTTTCTATTAAAATAAAAATTAAGCTTTTTTTTTTTTCTCCAGAGACGTTTAGAGTTCTTTTCTAATAAAAGAGTCATTACAAAATAGTACAATGCCGAATTGCTATTTTTTTTCATTTTGGGTTATTTCTCAGGTAAAAATAAGGGCATATGGATTTTATTTAGAGGTAGCAACAAAGAGGGTAAAAATAAGCATTTGAGTGCCTTCCATTCTCTACAAGCTTTGAAATAAAGGACTATCTAGTTCTTCATGAGTTATGGGGAAAAAGTCACCAATTCTTCGATTCTCACAAAATCATCTTAATACTATGGACAAATTCAAGGTTTGTGGTAAAAACTGCTTTTTAAAAACTCTTCCCTTTCCACTCCAGGCCCTGAGACTGGGTTAATGGGCAAAGGGAGAAAAAAATGGGAAAACGTAACGTTTTTGTTTGGATGTCCCAGTTGAGTCTGGTCCAATGAGGTGGGGGGTCTCTCCGTTTGGCGGGAGTGGGGAGGGAGACCCTAGAACTCCTGAGAGATCGGTGAGGCTGCCCCACAGGGCGCAGGACACGCGGAGGAGGCGGGAGATAACCGCGAGCGCGATCTCCCGCGCCCGCCAGTAAGGCTGGGACCGCGAAAAATCGGGGAAACTGCCTTTGGCTGTGAGGGTGCGGGGCAGATGTAGAAAAGGGGCGCAGAGGGACGAAGGTGAGGCACCTGGCCAGGCCCTGGGGGCTGCCTGCTCGCAGCCCTGTCACCGCCGGGGGCTCCGGGGTGGGGGAGGGGAGGGGCATTTGGCGCCTATTCAAGCAGGGTGGGGTTGGTGGGTCTTCCGAGAAGGAAAAAGGGCGCCCTGGGATGCCACGACCCGCACCTCCTGGGGTTGGAGTCCAGGGTCAGCGTGAGTGACGGGACCCTGCGGCCCGCCATCTGGCCCCTGCACATCTGGCTCATCTGGCTTCCCCAAGATCCCCAGCCGCCCTCCTCCCCGACCCAGGAACCGCTGCCGCCGCCCGAGGCCGGGCGTGTGGCGTGGCCGCGCGTCCAGGCTCCGGGCGATGTCGGGTCAGGGCCTCAGGCTGCAGCCCTCCCCATGCACCCCTCTAGCGTGCGCGCCCCCCTCGCGCCCGCTCCCCTCACTCACTATCCGAGGGTCGAGGACGCCCGGCGGCTGTCACGGCGCTGGGGCTGGCGCTGCAGCAGCAGCGGGGTGGCCGTGGGGCGCAGCTGCAGGGGCGCCGGCTCATGCCAGCCGACGTGGAGTCCGCCTCAGGTAGAGGAACCGCTCCGGGGGAAGCTGAGCAACCTGCCTGCTTCACAGACCTGTATCTCTTAAAAGGCGCCAGCTGGTACTTTTAAAATCTTTGAATTTGGTGCCTAAATCCGCGCGGTCCAATGAGGCGCGTCGCTCGCATGCACGCACCAATAGGAGGGCGGTGGGTGGGGGCGCCCTCTTCCACGCCCAATTGGACGCTGCCGAGGCGGGGCCGAGCCGCGAAGCCCAGCCCCCTTCCAGCTTACCGGCTACCCACGTCCGGAAAGATGCTACGGCCGGGGGCGGGACCTCCGAGCGCGGGGAGGCCGCGGCCCGGCCACACGTGTGGAGGGCCTAACACGCATGCGTGCGCCCGCCAAGATTCCCTCCGCCGTCTTCCGGACCGGCCTCCTGCAAGTCCTAATCTCAGCCCAAATTCAGCGCCGGCTTCCATCTGAAGATCTTCGATGGGTACAAATGGTAGCCGACTTTCTTCGATCATCTCTCGAACAGCAGTTCGGTGAGCGGCAACTCGGCTCGTCCGGGAATCCAGACTTTCCGGAAGACGGACCCTCCCCCCAGCCCAGCTTAGCCCGCCTCTCTAGGATTTACGCGCGCGCTCCGCTCTCCCTCCTAACTCGCCCCTCCCCTTGACCCACGCCTTTGCGCAGGCGCCTTGGCGGGTTGTGGCTGCAAAGTTGGCGGGTCGGCGCTTGCGCACCGGGGTTCCCCGCGATTTTTTTTTTTCCCGGGGCTGGATGAGGGGCGGCCCGCTTAGAGGGGCTGTGCGGCTCTCCCTGCGCCTGGCTGACATCAGCTGTGGGAGACCTGCGGCTGCGTCTCCCAGGGCCTTCCGGCGGGGCCGAGGGTGGGACCGAGGCACTTCTTCCTTGCGAGCGCATTTATTTGTATTTTCAGCCACCCTTCAGACACTTGGTTTACACTTTCCTGGGTTTTTGTTCCTCTCCTTCAAGGACCAAGCGTAGGAGACAGTAGTCCTGCTCCCAAAAAAAGAATAAATAGAAGTCCCCCCTGGACGCCCCTGGCCAAGGGAGTTTTTAGTGATGGCTGGCGTGGACATCAGTATGAAAGTGTACCGGAGTATTAGTGATGCTCAACTTTTCACAATTTGAATATGCACTTAAGTAGGACAGTGCATTCCCTGAACTCAGCTTTATGGCTACAGCCCAGTGATGCCACGGGATGTGAACTCCAAAAAGGCGAATCCTCGTTTGCTGTTTCCCTCTGGTGCCTTTCTGCAGCCTCGGAGTGAGTTATTTGTAGTCAGTGTTCAGTACCGTTAGTGACGAGTCCTGTGTGGCGCGGTCAGGATTAGGATGAGTCATACAAGTGCTGAGTGGATCCTGTCTACCTACAATTTTGATAATTAGTTCATTATGGGCTTTTTGCCTTTTCCATTTAAAAAAAAGGTTACATTAAAATAGTGTCACTCTTGATGACTGAAATTTTTTTCATCCCCGTAAATGCACCTGAGGCCTGTGCTTCCTTGCCTCACTCTAGCCTGGCCCTGGGGCTAGGTCCTGGAGCTTCAGAGTTGAAAAGACAAAGTCCTGTCCTTCAGGGAGTTTACAGAGATCAATGGGAAAGAAGTTGACAGTGAACAATTTCAGAACACGAAAAAGGATATGAAATAATGTATTGGGGTAGAGAATGCAGATTAGTATAGGTTAAGGTTTTTGGATGGTCAGGACGCTTTCTGAGGCTTTGAACCCGGATGTGAGTGTTGAACTGGCCATGCAGAGCTGCATAATAAACAGGGAATAATAAGCAGAGGGAATGCCTGACTACAACTTAGCAAGAAAGAGAGGAGATGAGGTTAGAGAGGTAGGCAGAAGCCAGATCCTGTGGGACCTTGTGGGTTTTCCATGTAGAGTTTAGACTTTCTTCTGATTGCAGTGGTTAGTTGTTGGAAGAATTTTGGCAAGGTAGGTATTTGTTGATAGAATATTAAAACTGTAACAGCTTTTTTATGTAAAAAATAATGTAAATGTTAGCTTTTCATTCTCACAATAGGTTAGCATTATTTTCAGTGTATAATGGTTGTGCTTCTCAGTGTGAGTGAATTCTCACTGTGGCTACCAGAACCACACAGCTAGTAAGCAGAAATTCTAGTGCCAGTCTGCAGGATTCAAAAAGTCCATGTGCTTTCCGCCTATGCTGTGCTAGCCTATAGCACTGTCTGCTGGAGCCCTGGTTGGTTTTAGTACATTTCACATTACTTCACAATTTGACCTTAGAGATAACTGTATTCACCTTTTATTTTCAGATGCTGGCAGAAATACAAAATTTGAAGCAGGCAAGGGTTCTCATTACATTATTTTTTATTTTTATGTTTTTGAGACTGAGTCTCACTCTGTAGCCCAGACTGGAGTGCAGTGGTGCGATCTTGGCCCATTGCAACCCCTGCCTCCTGGTTCAAGCGATTCTCCTGCCTCAGCCTCCCAAGTAGCTGGGATTATAGACATGCACTACCACGACTGGTGAATTTTTATATTTTTTAGTAGACAGGGTTTCTTTCACCTTGTTGGCCAGGCTGATCTTGAACTCCTGACCTCAACTGATCCGTCCTCCTTGGCCTCCCAAAGTGCTGGGTGGCATGAGCCACTGCGCCTGGCTCATTAAATTAGTTGAGCATCTGGAATACAACCTTTGGATCTTATCCTCAGCTTAGATTTGTTCTTCAGCAGTTTTTTTATTCTCCAGAAAAAGGCTGATAGATTATTGGAGAAATCAAAATTTCTGTCATAATGTAATATAAAGAACCAAGCATGTTTTGTTGCATGCTAGAATAATTTGTCAGTTTTTTTCAGCTTATTGGGTTACTGAATAATTGACATTAAGTGATGTTTGAGCTTTAATTATATTATTCGTAACTGTCAATATGTTCGGTTCACTGGCACCTGCTAATTCTCATCTAAGTGAGAAACTTAGGGCCACTCTGGCGGGGTATGGTGGCTCAATCCTGTAACCCCAGCACTTTGGGAGTCAGGAGGATTGCTTGACCCCAGGAGTCAACATGGTGAAACCCCATCTCTACCAAAAACAAAAAAAGCAAAAATTAGCTGGGCATGGTGGTGCACACCTGTAGTCGCAGTTACTTGGGAGGCCGAGGTGGGAGGATGGCTTGAGCCCAGAGGCAGAGGTTGCAGTGAGCTGAGATCGCATCACTGCACTCCAGCCTGTTGACCAAAAAATAAAGGGCAGGGGGACATTCTGAATTTTACTAGATGCCAGTAGATGTATACACCTCATTTTTCAAATTAGCATCAATCAGTTGTTGGGTGTTTAGGTGGAACATGAAGTGCAGAGAGAACTGCCCTCATTCTTTCATAAAATTCTTATCGCAGACCTACCACATGCAAAACAGTGGGATATATGGAAATAAATGGGACATGATATCTGCCGTTGTGCTTATCTGTGAGCTTGCCACATTAATAGCCATAATAGGTGTTTAGTAAATAATTTCTGAATACCAATCATGAGGCATGTCTGTGGGGGTAAGGTGTATAAAGTAAAGCTATGTGGAACACTGGATGAGTCAAATACATTTAAATTTGTGGAAATTTTGGCCAGGCGTGGTGGCTCACGCCTGTAATCCCAGCACCTGGGAGGCCTAGGCGGGCATATCTCAGGAGTTCGAGACCAGCCTGGCCAACATTGTGAAACCCCATCTCTACTAAAAATACAAAAAATTAGCCAGGTGTGGCGGTGGGTGCCTGTAATCCCAGCTACTTGGGAGGCTGAGGCAGGAGAATCACTTGAACCCAGGAGGCGGAGGTTGCAGTGAGCTGATACCACGCCATTACACTCCAGCCTGGCCAACAAGAGTGAAACTCCATCTCAAAAAGGAAATTGTGGAAATTTTCTTAGAGTTACTTCTGTGTACCAGGATAAGGGAATAATCTGTAGGACAGGGCTTCTTAACCTCAGCACTTTTGGGCCAGATAATTGTAGGGTGTTTAGCAGCATCTCTTTTATTCTGTCTTCCAGTTGTGATAACTGTCTCTAAACACTGCCAGATGTCTCCTGGGGGCCAGAGGCCCTCTGGATGAGAACCATGGCTGTAGGGGATGTCTTCTGAAGAAACGGGCACAAAGGAGGCCTTCTACAACATAAAGAACAAAATAAGGGAAAGGGTAAATGCAGTTGCATTTATTAAGATAAATTAATTTGATGTGGCATGGGGGGTGGTGTGTAAAGTGAGCTAATACAAAATGATGCTTGATACAGATCATGGATGTATACACAGTGGAGAGCTGGTTTTATTTGGGAGGCAATGGGAGCTTTTACATTGTTGAGCAAAGGAGTGACGAGATCAGTCTTGCTTTTTAGAAAGATTAGTTTGGCAGTTACTTATTTCTAACCAGAATTAGACAGCAAATAGGATGCGGGGGAGAAGTCAGGTGACTATTAGTCTGGGAAGTTAATTCTGGACAAGAGCAGTGGTAATGGAACTAAAAAGGATCACAGGTTTTAGCAATAAATCCAACGCGAGGAAGGGGAACTTAAGACGCCATTTTAAATTTGAGAGTGGTAGTACCATTAAAAACTAATGAATTTTGATTAACTAGGGCTTCAGGCCCTTTGAAATTAAGTTGAATTTTGGTTCTTTCTGAGCAATACACCAGATTTCTAGACAAACACTTAAGGTATGTTTTTAGACATCTATTTAGTGCCTATTACAACATGGTGTTAGCTTCCGAAGAGACAAGAATGACAAAAATAGTCTTACCATTAATGGCATTGTGAGAGGTCTAGCAGTAACTTGTTTATCCTATGCCTTCATCCACCCTTTCTCATTTCCTTAGTAAGCACACAATACTGAGACCAGAATAAAGCAGTACATTTACTACCTTGTGAAGAATGTTCAGGTGTTCAGGTGTGTTATCTTCATTTTGTGCTGCTTTAACAGAATACAGGAGACTGGGTAATTTGTAAAGAACAGAAATGTATTTCTCACAGTTCTGGAGGATGGGAAGTTAAGATCAAGGAGCTGGCACTTGTTGACTAGGGCTTTCCTGCTGTGTTCTCACATACAGAAGGCAAGCTAGCAGGATGCTCCCTGAAGCCTCTTTTATTAAGGGCCTTCATCCCAGTCCTGAGAGAATCCCTCATGGCCTAGTGATCTCTTAAAGGGCCCACCTCTTGATGCTGTCACACTGGCAACACCTGAATTTGAGGGGACATATTCAAGCCACAGCAAACTGAACATTTCTCCCATGCCAGATAGCACCATGTTCTTTGTCAGTAGGTGTTGGTAGAGGGGCACTGCAGAATAAAGGGGCTTCTCTTGCTTCTAAGATGATACCGTGACAGTTAATTTTATGTGTCAACTTGGCTAGGCCACAGGGTGCCTAGCTACTGGGTCATACTTTATTTTTTTAAGAGATTTAACTTCTGCTCTGAGTTTCCAATTATAAGCTCAAACATTATGCTAGGTGTTTCTGTGAGGGTGTTTTTACATGACATTGACATTTAAATCAGTGAACTTTGAGTAATGCAGACTGCCCTCCTCAATGTTAGTGGGCTTGATCCAGTCAGGTGAAGGTCTGAAGAGAAAAAACGACTGTCCTCTTCCAAGAACAAGAGAATCCTCCAACAGATACCTTTGGACTGGACCTGCACCATCAGCTTTCCTGGGTCTCCAGCCGCCTGCCTCACACTCCAGCTTTTGGACTTGTTAGACTTAATAATCATCACACAAGCCAATCCTTTTAAGGGAGTTTGTCTGGAGAATCTTGACAAACACAAACATCTACTGAGAGTTCCTGTCCAAGTTTTGCTCACACCCTAGCAAGAGGCTTCTGGCTTACCAGTAGAGGGTGTGAGGTTCTTTGCTTCTAAGACCCGATCCACCAGCTGTACACCAGCTCTGGCCCAAGGCAAGACAGGGAATTTCCCCATCACTGAGTAGGCTAT